ATCTGAAAAAAAGGATATTGTGTGCGAGTGTGCGTGTGTGTGTGCATGTATCTTGTATTTTCAATTGTTGCAATATGTATATACTTATCGCGAAGACTGTAAGGTTGTCGAGCTCAATTGAAGGCAGGCTTTGGTGCATAATTCCTGGCCTGAACGGGAGCAATTGGGTTAACTGTAGTTTTGTACTTACTGCCACGTCCGCTGCCCTTGCGTCGCGCCATCTTGTACGTGTGTGTCCTGGTTGAGTGTATCCTTTCGATGCTTTACTGCTGCCTCACTGTGGCTTTATGGCCAGCTACATGGGTGCCCAGTTGCTGCCTCGGACTTGGGACTTGATTGATGGGCTTGATGCTCTCGACGCGCCTGCCACGCCCACCGTTGGCTTGGGTTTGTTGTGCCAGTGTGTGTGTGTGTGTGAGGCAATGTAAATGTCCTTGCCACCGCGCCCTCAGTGTCCTTGTGCCCCAAATGGCCACGTCGCGCACTGTGCAACGTCTCAGGCGGGGCGACGCAACGGGAGTCGATACGACTTGCGACTCGTTTTGTGGCCTGGTTCCGTTCTCCTTCGTCTCGTATGGAGTGTGACTGTGTATATATATGTAGCTATAGCCTAGACAAATAGACGGGCCATGTGTGTGAGTGTGTGTGTGTTGGGCTATGATGACGTGTCTGTTGCTAGCTTGGCTTTTGGCTGCCCGCAATTTGCATAAAATGGCAACATTTTCAACATTTATTTATTTGATTTCGATTTCATTTCTAGTGTATATATATATATATGCACATCTATATATATGTGCGTGTAAAATACTCCAAAATTTCCCAAAAGTTTTTTTTTACTTTTCTGGTTTGGTTTTGTTGTGTTTTGTTTTGTTTTTGTTTGTTTCTGTGGTCGTTTCTTTTGATATGCTTTTTGCGCTTTTGTTGATTAAATTGTGGCCAAAAATTAGCCACAAGCCACGTGGGCTTTTTTTCTGCTTCTGCTTCTTCAATAGCTGCTTCACCTTCTTGCTCTGCTTGTATTTTATATTTTGTGTTTTTGTTTTTGTTTGTTGTCGTAGGCCGCGTTTTACCGTTAAGCCGCGCGCGTGCGACAGAGACAGAAAGCGTGCAGCATGACGAATGATCAAGCAGCAAATAGTTGCGTTTTGTTTTTGTCTACTATTAAATTTGGATTTGCTTTTGTTTTGAGTTTTCGTCGGCAATACGTTGCGTATACGCAACCACACGCACAATTTTTAATATTTTGTTTAACAATTGAACTTAATTCACAGATTTTACATGCAATTCAACTACTTTAATATATATGTATATATTTGATATATATATATGTATTTGTTATCAATTTTCATGTACGTGTGTGACACTTTCAATATGGCTTGTGTGTGTGTGTGTGTGTGTGTTTGATTTCTATTAATATAACTGAAATATATTCGCTGCTGCTCTACGAAATGTGTGCGAAGCGCGCGAAAACGAGAGGCGTGCGTCGACTTCGGCGTTCACGAACAAACAAGAGGCGATGTTAACACAAAATGAGCGCTGTTAACAGTTAAATGCTTCGTCTGCGGCACGAGCCGAACGAACGCGCACGCACGCACACACACACACACCCAAGCGCACGCGAGAGAGAGAGAGAGCGTGAGCGCGCGCTCAGCAAATAACCTGCTTTGCGCTCTTCTTGCTTGCGCTCTCTTGCGCTCTCTTCGTTTGCTGCTTTCAATTGTTTTTGCTTTCAATTTGAATGCGCTTGACTTTGCTTTCAATCGTTTTGGCTTTTTGTTTACCTTTTTTCTTTTTCGTTGCCATGTTTTTTGTTGTGCGCATGTTTTTTTCTCTCTTTGAGTGGCTTGTGCTAAGAGCAAATTTAAGAGCACGCAAATCGCTGTGCACTCTTTGCTTTAGCCAGCGGCTTAAGTTAAGTGAGTTAATCTTAACTGTTGTTTAGGTTGTTAATTGATTTTTATTTATTTCAATTGAATTAAAGTCTTATTTAGCTTTGCAGTTAGTTTACATGAACGAAAATAATTGCATACTTTTAGGCGCCACCCAAATTTAAATCTTTAGATGCCCATGTTTAAGCTTAATAGTAATATATGAATGTATATGCTTTAAAGATTTGATAGAAAATCCGTTTTTGTAGGAGATTTGAAAATATCGAAATCTTTATTACTTTGTAATAGGCAGAACCCAATGAAAATGAGAAAGAGAAGGTAAATATATTGTGCCCATAAAGTATATATATTCTCTATCTGCATTAATATTCGAGTCAGCGAATCTCAAAATTTATAAGAGCTAGAGACACCAATTTTGGGTAGTAGGATATCTTAGGGTATATAGAGATTGCGAATATTTCAAATATTGAATATCTGCTTTGCTAAAATTGCAAAAATATAGCATTTTATAAAGTACAGTCTAGAGGGTATCTGCTAGTCGGGCACTCCCAACTTCCGTAAGACAAATAATGTATATATAATGAAATGAACGAGTCGAGGACAGTTTTGCGCCGCATACTGACTTTTGGGCATTCAATTTGCTTAAGCTACACCTCAGAAAATATATTTATCATCAAGATAAAGCTCATGTTAGCGCAAACGTGTGCGTGTTAAGCACGCCCCTGTCATGCTCTAATGCGCACAATTGGGGCTATATTTTTTGCTCCGGCTAATCAAGTGTGGGCTATTCATAAGTATTTGCGTTGTGGGTGTAGGCGAGTGTTGGCGGGACACACAAAAGGCGTGGCAAGCGCATTTTGGCATTTCATATGTGGCAAAGATAGTAGTAGCCACCCATCCACCCATACCCACTGATCGATTGCAAATGGAACTGATGGGTTTTTGAGCACTGGGGCTTTACGCACACAGTCCAATCCGAAAAGCCATCAATGAATGTTGTAGCAGCTGTTTTTTGTTTACGTGTGTGTGCGCGCGACAGACGCAGGCGCCATTTTGCCGGCTTCCAGTTTTCCAGTTTCGCAACTGGAACGTGAAGGGGAAAATTCGAACTGTGAAATTGGCGCCAAATGTTTCGCCAGCTTCGCAGTCGGCCGATAACAGCGCGCGCGAATGGTGCGGCAAATGAAACGCGGATAGATTTTCATATAATTTCCATTCAAAAGAGAAAAAAAAACAGAGTGTCAAAGTGATAACACATAAAATTAGCTTAACTTTTGATTTTTGAATAAATATAAAAATATATAAAGTTAATTTAAAGACTCTAAAAATTTTGCTATTTCTTAAAATTATAAGAAAAATTTTAATTTATGCCAATATAAAAAATATTTAAAAAATAAATTGCCATTAAGAAATGTAATTCTCTTTCATTTTTATGTGCGTGGCTTTTTTTTTTTTTAAATATAATTCTTTTTAAATTAAATTTTAAAAAATTGTTTGTCAATTAAAAAAAGGAACATAATTTTGCTTAAACTTGCAGCTTAGTTAAATTTATAAATTTTTGCGCTGGGTTTTTCTTATAATCCAGAAAAGGTTCGTTTTAGTTTCATTTTCGGTTTATCATTTGTGTTTTTCCGCATGTGTTAAATCGAGCCCATTTTGACATATTTCAGTTTGTTTTGTCTACAACAAAGATTTGTTTAAATTGAGAGCAGGTAGAACTGCAAATCCGCCCAAAAATATAGTTCATTGTTCAGTTGTAAAGTTCGTATCGAGTTTCTGTCATATTTTTGTAAATTCTTAGCAAAACAATTTCACTTCTAATTGGAATTTGCCCGTTTATAAGCCAGGCCATAATTGAGCTCTAGCCAAAATTGGCAGCTGCAAAATAGGTTTGGATAAATCCAAATAGTTATGTCTTATCAAAATTTATTCTGAATCAAAACCAATATTTTTCCGTTTCGAGCAACTTATTTGCCCAAAGTTTCGATTCATATTAATAAAATTGGCACAAAATTGGCATTTGCAAAATATGTTTAGCTAAATTCAATTTGTGTTTGTTTATTCCCAAAAATTAATTAATTTTATACAAAACATTTATGTACTAAAAAAGTATTTTTGGGCAATCTATTTGTTTAGGGTTCGTTTTTTGTTCAAACGAGAAAGTGAGAATAGTTTTTTGCCAGCCGAAGTTCTAATACCCTTGCACACATTTACCTTATGCAGGTATGTGAGTATAGTGAAGCTCGAAAATCTTGAGCAGAAAAATAACTTTTCGACCGATTGTTCCTATGGTAGTTGTATGATATAGGGTTTGATGGGAGAGTACGAGAAACTATAAAATACCGAGTGTGAATAAGTTAGCTGGGAATTTGACAAATTTTTCATACAATAAACCAATTTTTGACTGTTAGTTCCTATGAAATATAATAGTTTCTATGATATAGTAATATTATATTTGAAACATGTGTAAGGTTTCCGATTTGGATCAAGATATCTTGATAAACCAAGAACCAGCGCTCATTCCTATGGCATTCCATTCCGACCTAAGTACTGCCTAAAATAGTCGAATCTATCCAAAGTTTCAAGAAGTTAGCACTAAAACTTAGAGACTAGTTCACATGGAAGCAGACAAGTCGTCTGTTGATGCTGATCTAGAATATATATACTCTATGAGTTAGGAACTGTTTCCTGCTATGCGTGGCACATTTCATGACAAACTCGTAATATCCTCTGTGAGAGTATTAAAAAGTAAATAAAAAGTACTTTCCAGCCTTGTTTTCATGGCAACTAAATCGATTCGTCGTTACAAAAAAAGGGCTCGCACTTTAACTAATTGTTTCGTTGCTTGTCAGAGAATAAATTTGTATGATTTATTTAAATAATTGAATTATGTATTCTGTTTGAAGCTCGACTAATTGCATTTAATCCGCTTTCGCTACAATTTTGTTCTTTCTGTTTAATGCATTCAATTGATGACAATTGTGTATTTGTTTGCAAAATATTTCTTTCTATTAATCAAAAATAGACAATTGAATGCTTTAATTGCTGTGCTGTAAATAAAGCATAATATAACAGACAGCATGTAATTCGTTGGCCTCTTTTATATTGCAGCACTTAATGTTGTGCCTGATAAATGGAACTACAAAACCAGGCAACGGACAGACAATCCAATCCCTCGAATCTCAACAGCGCCAGTTGGGGCGAGGCGGGGGCCGCTCTTCGGGCTGTAAATTAAACGCCAAAGTCAATACTTAATTGCTTTGCTCTGGCCGTAAACATTATTGTTTATGTACGTGCGAGTGTGAGTGTAAACAAATATTGCGCAAAAATACGCGCAACAGAGCGAAGAAGAAGCAGCAACAATTTCGACTCTTTCAACGAATTCCAAACGCTGGCCAGCAAAAAAATATATCTATAAAAATACATATAAAAGTATCTAACCATAGGTGAGTACCATTTTTGCCAAGTTTATTAAGCAATACACACACACACACGCACACACACACTCATTTATTTATATGAGAACGGAAACAATAATATTGCGCATACGCAACGTTGTACCCCGTCGGCGCACAGAAGTTAAGGCCTCCCCGCCCCTCCAGCCTTGCTTCTTTTGTTTATGATATATTTATATTTTATTTCTCACTGCTTAATACCTGATTTGCTGGCCCAAATCGTAGCATAATATACTCCGTCCCGGTCGTTGTCCGGCAGCAGTCACTGATTTATGAAAAGTGCTCGGATGAATTATGGGCTCTTCGCTGTGCAGGCAGGTGTACATAATGCGGGCGGCAGCGCCCTTAAAGGTCACCTGAGAGTTGGCATTAAGTACACATAAAACTCGTATGGAATGCAGGCATAACCCAAAAAGCAATTCAAGCGGTGTCCAGCAGCGCAAGCTTAAGACTTTAAGCTATCGATTTGGCTATTTGTTTAGCTGTGAAGTAAGTTTAACAAGGCGAGAGAGGAAAGGAGGGGCTGCTGACTATAAGATACCCTAACAAGGCTATGGACTTAACGATTTAGCAACTGCGAATGGGATCTTTGTGATTTATTAAGTCAACTAAGTTTCGATTTGGTTAATAAAAGAGGAACGAAGCTAAGCACTTTGGCACGCCGAAGTTGGTATACCCTAACATACATTTGACACTTGCCATCCTGCCTGAGGCAGCTATGAATTAGTAATCCAATGCAGTCGAGTCCGATTAAAGTGCAGCTGCCTGCTGTGGATATCATAAGCCCCTTATATAGATCGGGAATATATATATACTAATGAAATCGATGTGATCTTTTTCTATGCACTCTTTTAATCTATCTTCTAGATGTTTGACAAGAATTAAAGCAAACTTTGCCAATTGGTAACTCAATGTCGTAGTCTAATTGGAATGTACATATGTCCCATTGTTTTTGTCCAACCAGATGTGGTCTATTGCCTGCTGTTCACACACACTCATGTGTGTGCTAGTGTGTGTGTGTGTGTGTCGGAAGCGTAAATCCTGGCTAAAGTAAATCCTGGCCGGGGAAACCGCGAAGCTCCTTAGCCTGGCCAGCTGCGGTTGTCTTGGCCAAGTCTTAAAGGGGGCTTTTCCTTGGAATTTCGACACACATATTTCAAGTGTGCGTGCGCTTGTATGTGTGTGTATGTGTGTGTGTGTGCATGTTTTGGGCAACAGCTTGTCGAGCTAAAGTTTTATTTATGAAGCTGAAGCTGACGCTGACATCAAAGACATACACAAAAAAAAAAAAAACAAATCTAAATCTAAATGAAAAACAACACAAAAAAATCGAAAATAAATAAGTAGCTCGCCAGGCCGAAGTTTAAATACTCTATTTAGACAAATGACTGACAGCTGTTGCGGATATGTTGAGAAACATGCCGACGCTTCTAATTGCTTGAGGTGCTGAGAATATTTTGATAGATGGCAGATTTTTGTAAACAAAAACTTATTTACGACAGATATATATATACATCAAGATATTTGGGCAGATATATATGATACGAGGCAGAGCGAAATGAACAATTGCCAGGCTTGATCAAAATTTCCGGGCAAAACCAAAAAGTTGCACCCAAAATTCCAACCAATAATCTGCCCTGTGCAACTATACGATATAGTTCTCTAATTCCTGCGATGGATAGAGTATAACAACAGAAAAAAAATGAAAAATTTACGAAACTGTGAGCAGATTCCTAGCGCAATCTGTAGATGTGTAAATATTTGCGACCCTAGGCGTAGGCCATGGAGACAATGGCGTCAGAGGCGCCAACTGACATGTGTCAAAGGTCGGCGGCTGGAGAGAGAGAGGGGTGTGTGTGTGTGTGTGTTTGGCACACTCAGCTGGACACTTTTTAATATGGCAAACAACAGCGCTGCGTGCGTCGTTTTATTAAAAAAAAAATGAGCTGCCGCATAAAAAATCAAATAAAATAGAAAAAAACAAGCATCGAGAGGGTCCAGCGTGGTCGGCAGATCCTGCAGGACCTGCAGTTCATTATGCCGAATTGCTATGGTAATCTATATTAAACATTTTTTAGCTAATAGCTGTTGGCTGCTTACCACACCCCACCACCACCCCCCCACCGCCAGCCCCTTTCGCAACACGCCCCTGCTCCAATTTGGACACGAAGCCTTATTTATGCGGCTTTATTATGCCCAATTTATGGGCTATGCATGTCGGCTAATTAGCTGTCGAAGACATTCCTGGCTGATTGGTAATACGCTTAACTTTCACACACACAGAGACAACACACTCTCACACACACACACACAATCTGGCAACAAATTTGATCGTAGCCCATTTTCTGCATATTGACAAGTTCCTCGTTATCGCTGCTTTGGCAGCTGTTGATTGCTTCTCTTGATAACTCTCTTGATAATTCAAATAAATGAATATATATCCAACTGCCAACTGCGAACTGTAATTAAGTGGGCCAAATTTGCCCCCCCCCCCCCCCCCCCCCCGCAGTACACGGAATGTTTTGGCATATTTTTAATTAATTTTCAGTTCGATTTAAATGCAATCAACCAATTGCATTCACATGACTTTACAGAGGCAATTTTGATTGCCCAAAAAATATGTGTGAGTATTTACACCACAAGAATCTCATCGGACATGGGTCCGAATTTCCCACACCCATACATTGGTCAAAACTCTACCGATTTTCATGGGGCTTGGCTTTTTATTCATGGTTTTGCCTCTTGAAAAATTTGGCATTTAAATCTGGCAACGTCATTTTTTGTCCAAATTCATGTAAAAATTCTAACCTCCAAAATCCTGTATAGACATGGGTCCAAATTTCCCACATCCCTAACTCGGTCAAAACTCTACCAATTTTCATGGGGCTTGGCTTTTTATTCATGGTTTTGCCTCTAGAAAAATTTGGCATTTAAATCTGGCAACATCATTTTTTGTCCAAATTCATGTAAAAATCATCAGCTCCAAAATCCTATATAGACATGGGTCCAAATTTCCCACATCCGTAACTCGGTCAAAACTCTACAGATTTTCATGGGGCTTGGTTTTTTATTCATGGTTTTGCCTCTAGAAAATTTTGGCATTTAAATCTGGCAGCATATTTTTTTGTCCAAATTCATGTACAAATCATCAGCTCCAAAATCCTATATAGACTAGGTCCAAATTTCCCACATCCGTAACTCGGTCAAAACTTTAACGATTTTCATTGGGCTTGGCTTTTTATTCATGGTTTTGCCTCTAGAAAAATTTGGCATTTAAATCTGGCAGCATAATTTTTTGTCCAAATTCATGTAAAAATCATCAGCTCCAAAATCCTATATAGACATGGGTCCAAATTTCCCACATCCGTAACTCGGTCAAAACTCTACCGATTTTCATTGGGCTTGGCTTTTTATTCATGGTTTTGCCTCTAGAAAAATTTGGCATTTAAATCTGGCAACGTCATTTTTTGTCCAAATTCATGTAAAAATCATCTCTATCATCTCCAAAATCCTATATAGACATGGGTCCAAATTTCCCACATCCGTAACTCGGTCAAAACTCTACCGATTTTCATGGGGCTTGGCTTTTTATTCATGGTTTTGCCTCTAGAAAAATTTGGCATTTAAATCTGGCAACGTCATTTTTTGTCCAAATTCATGTAAAAATCATTAGCTCCAAAATCCTATATAGACATGGGTCCAAATTTCCCACATCCGTAACTCGGTCAAAACTCTACCGATTTTCATTGGGCTTGGCTTTTTATTCATGGTTTTGCCTCTAAAAAAATTTGGCATTTAAATCTGGCAACGTCATTTTTGGTCCAAACTCATGTAAAAATCATCACCTCCAAAATCCTATATAGACATGGGTCCAAATTTCCCACATGCGTAACTCGGTCAAAACTCTACAGATTTTCATGGGGCTTGGCTTTTTATTCATGGTTTTGCCTCTAGAAAAATTTGGCATTTAAATCTGGCCACATCATTTTTGGTCCAAATTCATGTAAAAATCATGACCTCCAAAATCCGATATAGACATGGGTCCAAATTTCCCACATCCGTAACTCGGTCAAAACTCTTCCGATTTTCATGGGGCTTGGCATTTTACTCATGGTTTTTCCTCTACAAACATTTGGCATTTAAATCTGGCAACGTCATTTTTGGTCCGAAGTCATGTAAAAATCATCACCTCCAAAATCCGATATAGACATGGGTCCAAATTTCCCACATCCGTAACTCGGTCAAAACTCTACCGATTTTCATGGGGCTTGGCTTTTTATTCATGGTTTTGCCTCTAGAAAAATTTGGCATTTAAATCTGGCAACGTCATTTTTTGTCCAAATTCATGTAAAAATCATTAGCTCCAAAATCCTATATAGACGGGTCCAAATTTCCCACATCCCTAAATCTGTCAAAACTCTACCAATTTTCATGGGGCTTGGCTTTTTATTCATGGGTTTGCCTCTAAAAAATTTGGCATTTAAATCTGGCAACGTCATTTTTTGTCCAAATTCATGTACAAATTCTAACCTCCAAAATCCTGTATAGACATGGGTCCAAATTTCCCACATCCGTAACTCGGTCAAAACTCTACTGATTTTCATTGGGCTTGGCTTTTTATTCATGGTTTTGCCTCTAGAAAAATTTGGCATTTAAATCCGTCAAAGTCATTTTTTGTCCAAATTCATGTAAAAATCATTAGCTCCAAAATCCTATATAGACATGGGTCCAAATTTCCCACATCCGTAACTCGGTCAAAACTCAACAGATTTTCATGGGGCTTGGCTTTTTATTCATATTTTTGCCTCTAGAAAAATTTGGCATTTAAATCTGGCAATGTCATTTTTTGTCCAAATTCATGTAAAAATTCTAACCTCCAAAATCCTGTATAGACATGGGTCCAAATTTCCCATATCCCTAACTCGGTCAAAACTCTACCAATTTTCATGGGGCTTGGCTTTTTATTCATGGTTTTGCCTCTAGACAAATTT